AGTGAATTTATGTGCATTAGATACAGAGTTTGGGGAAAGAAAATGAAGAGGAGAGAGGCAGAGAAAGAACATCTAAATTGGAATTAATTGTTGCTTTATCTTCATGAAGATAAATATTTTCAAGATACATATTTTCATGAAGCTTATTTTCCAGATTCTTCTATTGCTGCTTGACTCATTTTAAGAAAGAAAGTGGATTTTTCCCCCCTCTATTTTTGGCCTTTTTACTATATATGTATAACATGTGCAGTGCAGAGAAATTATAAAATATACAAAATCAAAAAAAGATAAAAAGTACCCCTATTTTTATCACTATCATTAATGTTAATATTTTGGGAGTTATTTTTATCAACTGTGTAATGCGCATATAACATTTTAGGTTTAAAAATGGTACATAATATTTTTAATTTTCTTCTTTTCACACAAATATATTAAGGGCATATTATTTCAATATGATGCTCCTCTTATTTTTAATCGTATGAATGGACAGTTTATGATTTTCTAAAAGTTACTTTTCAATTGCATTTGACAGACAATATTACATTAGTTTCAGGTGTACAGCATTAATGATAAGACATTTATGTACCTTATGAAGTGATTGCCTGATAGGCCCAGTGCCCACCTGGCACTATACATAGTTATTACAATATTATTGACTATATTCCCTAGGCTGTACCCTACATTCCTGTGACTACTTTTATAACTGGCAATTTGTGCTTCTTAACCATGAAAGGATGATTTATATAACAAACTTGCTATTGTTGAACATCTCTATCGCTTCTAGCGTCTGCAACTTTAAACAATGCCTGAGTGACCGTCCTTAAAGCTTTAGCACATTCTCAATAACTTCTGTAAGATAAACTGCAGGAAACACAAAAGCTGCAGGTTTAGACTCCTGGTCCTCGCCCATGCTGAGGGCTCGCTGTCTCCATGCTCTGAGTCAACCTCAGGCCGCATGTGTTCTGCCTCAGGTGGATGCCCTGCCGGAAGTGGTGGCTGCCGTGAAAGGGAAACTGGAGGTGTACCTGGACGGTGGGGTCCGGACGGGCAACGATGTGCTCAAGGCCCTGGCCCTGGGGGCGAAGTGCGTCTTCCTGGGGAGACCAGTCCTGTGGGGTCTTGCCTGCAAGGTGAGACCAAAGGGAAACCAACCTGGAGATACCACGTTTCTCATTCCTTTGCATGCGTGTCTGTGGTCTAGCCCCCAAGCTTAACCGTTTTTCCAGGTGCCGCGGATTCCTGAAGGAGGGATACACCCAGCCCGAACCTCCAGGCTTCCTCTGCAGCACACTGCACATTTTCAAGAGCTCTCACCCCTTTTCCTCTTGGTGTTTCTTTGTTTCACAGATACCCCCATGCTCCTCACCACGTCTCCATGTCCCTAAGCACACCTAGAATTTATATTCAGCTCATGGTCACAATGTTCCTTCATCTCTCCCTCTCTCTCTCTCTCTCAGGGTGAACATGGTGTTGGGGAAGTTTTGAACATTTTAAAGGATGAGTTCCACACGTCCATGGCCCTGACAGGTGAGTGTGTCCAACTCTTTTCCTGATTTGAAAGCGGAGGTCTAAGGAGCAGGAAGGCAGCCCCCCTTCTAGCACCTCTCCCCAGCCTAGGGATGCCAGAAGAGACAGCAGGAAAGAAATGTCCCTGACAGAGATTCGTCTTGGATACATCTTAACCATGAAAGAACAGTTTATATAACAAACCTATTGTTGAACATCTGCATTGCTTCTAAGCTTCTGCTATTTTAAGCAATGCATCAGTGAGCACCCTCAAAGCTTTAGCACGTTCTCAGTGACCTCTGTAAGACAAACTGCAGGAAACACAAAAGCTACGGCTCATATTTCCTGGTCCTCACCCACTGAGAGCCCTGCTGTCCCATTACTAAGGTGTACAGAGGTAAGCGTGGTGTCACATTATGGGAGCGAGGCCTGCAGGTCACTCTGGACTGTTCGGATCCTATCAGGCTCTCTGGATGTGGCTCTGGGTGTCACTATAAAACAATACTCATGGACTGTGAATAGTCGAGAAATTATGTCAAAGAGGAAGTACAGAGGGACCCAGGAGAGAGAGAAAAACAGGGCGAGAAGGAGAAGCATTGTCCCCCGTAACCACAGACAGCAAGACAGACGTGTCTCAAAATTACATGGGTTTCAGTCAAAAATGAAATTCTTGTGAAGTGGCGCTCATAAAAACTCCTACATTCGCAGCAAAGCCTGGAGTCCCAGTGATCCCGCAAAACAGTGGTTCCCAACTAATGGTGATGACTTTCCTCTTCAAGGGCATTTGGTTTGGGGTTTTTAGTTTGTGTTTTTCGAATTCTAAGTGACTCAATTCCAAATGACCCAACGTCACCGAGTTCCTCCCATGAGGGAGGGGAGGGCACACGTGTGAACTGAGAGCATATTGGGAGCCACTGGGGAGGGGTGGGAAGACCTGCGGTGTCTGTGGATTCCAGGAGGCTGAGACAACTGCCCTTCTCTCACAAATCCTTCCCCGCCCCCTTCTTGGAAATGGATGTTCAAACTTCTTTTCACAAAAGCCTGATAGAAACTCAACAACAAAGCTTCATCATTCCACCAAGAGTTAACACCTACTCACCACTCCCGTGTTAATGGCAGCGTTAATGCAGCCGGAAACTATTACTGAGACCTTTGGAACACCTTTGGAACGGTCAGGGAAAAAGGAAAGGAAAAACAGGATTATGGGCACTTTTGTGCCTGACTCTGTACTCCTCTCCCTTCTAATTGTGCTACAATGAGAATGTATTGTTTTAAATGTATAGAAACAGTAGTAATCACAACCAAACAAGGGACAGGGAAGACGTTCGAGGGGAAGGGAAAGCATAGGAAACCCAGACAACAGGGCATCCCTGGCATCCTCTGTTTAAGAGGCGCTGCTCCAGATAAGACCCTCCCCCCAGACTCCTCCCTGGAGAGAGGGGATCTCAGGTTGGGGGCCTGTGCATTTGATGGAACCCAGCGAAATACCAAATCATAGTGTGCAACCCAGAGATTGTGTCACTCCCTGGTCCTCCCCTGCACAAGGCAGGTAAGACGCCGACACAAAATTGGTGCCCCGGAGGCAGCCGATCGATGATCACCTAATTCCCCTGGAAATGCGTGGTATGTCCCCCTGATATCTCTGTGACATCACAGCCCTGGGAGGAGAGCCCCATGTACACTATTGCTGAGAACAAAGTAAGTTGAAAAGTATTGTTTTTCCAACTGGGAGACCAATTTTTGAGATTTTTGTATTTACAAAAAGGTTAAAATGATGATTTGTCTTGAAAAACAAAAATGTCCACACAGAAACCCCATCATCCGAAGGCTGCACAGACCTCACTAAGTTCTCATCCCTCATCGACGTAAGAGCATCCGAAGCTGTAGAGAGTTTTTATAAAGATTTATTCGAGCCAAACAGAAAGCACGTACGCCTGGACGCAAGAGAGGCGAATGTTTCAAGAGAGAGAAATTTTCAAGAGATAAACGCTTCCAAGAAAGGACAGTTTCCAACCTCCTTTACGAATTTGCACTTAAGGAGGGATGATCCCATGAAGGTGGGAGATAGTGCTGTGGGGGGTGGGTTACAGGGCAGTTAACACTACCTGCTCTCCTGAGGGTGCTGGCTTCTGAGAAGAGGCATCAAGGCCTTGCAAAGGTGCCTGAACCTGGAGGCACAGAAAGCATGGACAGGGCTTGCTTACCTTTTACTAAAGAAGTGAGATGCCTCGGGTATGACTACCCACCATGATCTGCCCAGCTGGGAATCTATGATCAGATCACCCCGTGAGGTTACTTTCCATACCCCCCTTTTTTCAGGTCCACAGCTTCAATACTATTTTTCCTGCAATAGATAACCACAGAGTCTATCCTGGCATCTCTGTGCTCCGTGAGTAGGTCTGCCTGCTTGGAAGTCCCACTCTTCTCTGCCCTGTGGAAGCCCAAGGCTATCGAGATCTTTGTCCATCCTGGGAGTCACCCCAGGCAGGCAACTCAACTCCGTCCTCTGTTTCCACTTTTAGGAAAAGACCCTCTTTTGAGTCATATTTTTTGTGAGTAACACATCTTGCTGAAGTTATGTTTGGGGAGGTGAAGGTGCGTACGTACGTCAGAGGCATAGAAAGAAATTCCAGGCGAACGTTACACATCCTGTTGTTCAATTCTAGCAGCCTTCTCGTCACCAGGGAGATTTCACTGCTTCCTTCAGCCCTCGGTCCTCCAGCCCATAAGCCACGCAGCTGCTCTCTCCCTCTTCTTCTACTTTTTAAAATATATTTTTATTGATTACAGAGAGGAAGGGAGAGGGAGAGAGATAGAAACATCAATGATGAGAGAGAATCATTGATCAGCTGCCTCCTGCGTGCCCCACACTGGAGATCGAGTCTGCAACCCAGGCAGGTGCCCTGTCTGGGCATCGAACCGTGACCTCCTGGTTCATAGGTCAACACTCAACCATTGAGCCACCTCGGCCAGGCCTCCTCTACTTCTTATCTGAAGTCACTTTCTGTAGCCCCTGTGTGATCTCAGCTACAGTCCTAAATTTGCATTCTAATGAGGACCCTTTACTACAAAAGGGGTTTCATTCTTCAGAACTTCTCCTTAGAAGGCCGTTGCTGTATGAAATACCCCATCTCCTAAGCTGTCCTGAGTCATTTCCTCCTAGACAGACACGTCCTAGTCTCTGAGCCTAGCAGGACCAAGATCAAGGTGAAGGGTATCTACTGCACACACACATTGCTTAAAAAATGCTAAAATGTTTTTAACGTTCCTGTCATGCCATTTTGACATGGCCACCAAAAGAGGACCCAAGCACAGGCTCCTGAAATAATTCCCGAGGCAAACAGAATGACATCATTCATTCTCGATGCGTAATATTGCCTCAGGGCGAGCACCCGCGGCAAGTCGGGGCCTGTTCCCATTGTCTTATCCGCACCATGATGGCGAGGGATTCTGGTGCTGAGAGAGAGGAGCCTCTGAACTCCTTGTTCTTTCAGGCTGCCGGTCGGTTGCTGAGATCAGTCAGGACCTGATCCAGTTCTCCAGGTTGTGAAGAGCTGGGGACAGGACTGCTGAGGTGGCCCACGGGAAGACCAAGCCAGCGCCTGTGTGTGACGCCATCCTGCCCAGGCCCCCATCCTCCTATCCAGTGGCTCAACCACTTCACCCCACACTTCCCGCTCCAAACCCTCATCTGCCTCAAAGGTGTCAGGCCCTCCTCTGCCTCACTGCTTTTTACATGCTGTTCTCTCGCCTGAAAGCCCCCTCTGAAAGAAAAGGGCGGGTCAATGATGACTAGTGAATGGAATTCTTGCATATCCCCTACATCTCTATGAAACATCTATGGGCATTCTGGACAGAAGAGCAAAACATATAAAGTCACCCCCCAACAAAAATCCTCCTCCTGTCTAAAGATAATAGGGAAATAATAGAGTTTAAAACATAGGCTGTGGAGTCATGCAAACAAGGGATTAACAGTCAGGACTGCTCCTGACAAGCTGGGTGCCTTGGGGAAGTTTTTCAATATCTCAGTGTTTTCTTGGCCTCCTCCCCGCACCTCATCCCCCATCACCCATTAGGATGCAGCATCACATACAGTGGGGCGTGGTGCACTTCCTAGAACTTCGTTCCCTGGAATTTTACTTCTAGATCTCAGAACTCTGCCTCAGACACCATTTGTGTCACGTCCACAACTTTGGTTTCCTTATTCTCTTCACATCAGAAATAAGAAAATACCTCAAGCCCTAACTGGTTTGGCTCAGTGGATAGACTGTCAGCCTGCAGACTGAAGGGTCCCAGGTTCAATCGATGTTTCTCTCTCATCGATGTTTCTAACTCTCTATCTCTCTCCCTTCCTCTCTGTAAAAAAATCAATAAAATATATTAAAAAAAGAAAATACCTCAGTACCAGATTGTCCTTTGTGGTGCAAAAGAATGACTAACAACCTTGAAAATACAGTTTGAAACCAGAGAATCATCGGTAGAATAACAGCCACTCTTTTAACCCCTTCACAACCTCACAAGGCAGATTTTTTTTTTCATGCCTGTTAGACAGACATGAGCAGAGCAAGACGATGGACCAGGTACTCAGCAGGGCAGAAAGTCCGGATGCCTCGCAGGGGGCAAAAGTGGGGAAGCAAGAACCTTGTCCCCGGGGTAACCTGTCCTCCCATAGCCTATCTCTGGTCATGAGGTTTGGACCCCTGATCTTTCCTATCGCTGGTCGGGCAGTTTAGACCCCCTGACCTTTTCCTCCTAAAGGTAACATCTAGGCCTCAGTTATATTTCAGCTCCAGGCCCAGAAAAGCAGCAAACCAGACAAGTGACACCGTGGCTGCCTCAGGACCAGCTACACTAATGAACCCCTGCCCTGGCACCGAGCCTCAGTGGAGACCACAACCGCAAAGGAGCACACGGGAAAGATAATGGATATTCTATTCAGACCTTCCCCTGGGACCTCCCCTAAGATTTCCACCGGCAGGAGAGAGAGAGAGAAGTGTGGTCAGGACAAAGGACCCAGTGCACACTCTCCCCCAGAGGAGCCATTCCCTTCCCCCTTCTTCCCTTTAAGTGACCCCGTGAGACTTGGAATGAGGGGAGCAATGGGCAGTGGCATTGCTAAGTCCCTGAGCCTGTCTTCAAGGCCTGCTGTTCTCTGATTTCTCAGTGAGCCAGAGCAGCCCACCCTACACTCTTCTGTTGCTTCTATGCCCTTCCTTATTTCACTGTCCGAAGTATATTTTTGCTGCCATCAGGGACCCAATGCCCTTTGGCTCAGTGCTGTGTACCCCTTCCCTTTGGATGTCCCAGCACCCAGCCCCTCTCCTTAAATAAATTCAAATCTTCTGTATCCACGTCTGAGATGGCTATTTGGTCTGCCCATGCATCACTGACTTTAACCCTTCGATACTCTGATTATCTTACTGGCCTGTGAACTTGTAAAATCCCCCAATTTTCTCTGCAATAACTTTACTTATGAAGACTTCTAAGCAGGCATGATGGCCAGTCCTGAAATCACCAGCTGGGTGCTTGACTGAGTCATTCTAGATTGGTTTGGGGTAAGAGTGATCATCATGATAGCAAGTTGTGTGGATAATGGAGTTCACTTACATTACAAGAGAATCTAGCATAAATCCTCCCTGTGTACTTCTACCTTGGTGTTAACGATACTCTTTTTTGGTCATGGACACGTGTGTGTTATTTTTGAAGTCGTTTTTCCTTCTGGACTCAGATGGCAAGATCCCAGATTCCAAGGAAAAAGAGCAAACACATAAAGATGCAGCCAAAAGGCTGCTCTCAGGAGGGCCTCTCAGCCCCTCAGAGACCCTGTGTTAGGATGCATGGTGGACAAGGCGAAGAGAACTTCTCCACTGGAAAGTGTGCAACAATGGAATGGAACACTTAGTATCTAAAAGATAAGCCTGTGTTCTGATAAAGAGAATCAGCTTTGAAGCCACTCCAGGGTCAGGCTGCCTGGCTGAGATTCCCACGTCACTGTCCTCGAGATGTTTGGCAAGACTACAAACATCTCTGTCTTCCTCTCTTAAACAATAATACCAACTCTTTTGGGCTAACATCGTGAAAATTAAATGGCAGAAAGGACTTCTGTTTCCTAATCCAGGATGTGAGGAGCTTAAAGAGGTCTCCACTCCATCCTAACAAGTCAAAAGCTGGACAAACTGAAAAATTAACAACTCTGCTCAGTCCCTCAGAAAAGTGAGTCACAGAGCAAACCGCTGCCCCCCATTGGAGAGACAGGCAGACCCGGAGAATCACAACTTACCTGAGCAGAAATCTGTGAACAAACCTCCATGAAAGTCATACCAAGGTAGGAAACTGAGCTGTAACTGACAAACTGACCTATCTGAAAGTTAAAAACCCAGGGGGGCCTAATCACGGGAGGCCCCCAGACTTTTGCTCTACCTCCAGGAACTCTACCTGATTTACCTCCTGGTTCTCTCAGTGAGTATCAGAGAAAACTCCTCTAGAGCTCCCATAAGGAGGAGGGGAAAGGAACCATTCTGAAATGTGCCTGCCAGAGCTCTCTGCGCTGAGCAAGGCCCGCCCTCAAGAGAAACTATTTCAGCAGACCCGGCCTAGCCTATCTGGGAGGTGGAAAATACTCAACTCCAGCCTCCCGGTAGCCACCCTGTTCCACCTAAAGGGGGGCGGAGGGGGACCGGGAAGCACTGGTCAAGTTCACAGGTCAGCAGCACAGGTTCACCAAAAGCCTGAGACCTAAACTATAGGACTAAAAAACACAGACATTCAAAGTCCTGGATTGTTTGTGTAACCTTCCATTCATTCATTCATTCATTCACTTCCTGGTATGCGTCAGATATTGTACTAATTCTTATGGGGATATAAAATATAAACTCAGTCAAACATGCAACAGTTTTTGAACACAACTGGACCCCTAATCTCCTGATACAGGCCATAGAAGTGGGCAGCTACCACTGGATAACTTCCCCCAGACCTCTCCAGGGGGGGGAAGCAAAATTGACGTCTGGATATATATCGTGGGAAAGAAAGTCACCTCCCGCACAACATCGTGATTGGAGCTGCCACCATTGCAAATGTCTCGACTTTGCAAGATGACATTTCCAGCCACACCCTGAGAGAGGAGGCAGGGACTAGAATGCCCCCCTCCCTGGGTGTTTCTACTTCACAGGCAACGATCCCACTGTGCTGGGAGACGTCTCCTAGTCTCGCTGAAATTCACAGATGGTGCGTCCCCCACAGCCAGAGCCACCTGCGGGTGTCCTGCTGTGGGTGGCACCGGGCATCGTTATCGCTGTGGCCTTGGAGCTGGCCTTCTCTTCCTCTGCCTCGAAGGGAAAGGAGATAGAAGCCGAAGCTGAAGTTCCGCACTTTGTGGTAGGAGGGATCCTGGGACAGGAATGAGCAATGAATATGTAGTAGATAGAGTCCAAGATAAAAAGGCCGAGCCAGAGGGGATGGGGCAAAACTCCAGTCTTCCTTCCAGGGAGAGACTCAGAACTCAGGCTCTTTCATCTGACTTTTAGCAATCGAACAGGTTAGAGCGTTTTAAAATTTTTCTCTCAAGGAGTTGTGGTTGCGGAGGAGTGGGGGGAACAGAACGGATGTGTGTGCACCTGTAACCACCTGGCCTGTGTGGGGGTCTTCTTCAGGGTGGGCCTCTATCCCACCTGCTCCCCGGCTTTCTGGTTTCTGGAGCGTGCCTCTTGGTTCCCAGGTGTGCCATGGCTGGGTGGAGCTGCCTCGTGACGGGCGCAGGAGGCTTCCTGGGGCAGAGGATCATCCGCTTGTTGGTGGAGGAGAAAGAGCTGCAGGAGATCCGGGCGCTGGACAAAGTCTTCAGACCGGAATTGCGGGAGGAATTTTCTAGTAAGTGAACTTGGGTCATGGGAAAATGGCAAAGCTAACCTTGAACCTAGGCAGGCTCGCCTCAGAGTCTGTGCTCTTAACCTCTAGTTTGCCTGAAAGGTTTCCTCTGGGCCTCCCTCCCACCCAACTCACACCACATAGGCAAAGGTATATTCAGCCTCACCAAGTCCACGGAGCCATGGCTCCACCACCGGGGTTTCCACAGCGCCCTCTCCTGGCTTCTCTGCATCCCTGCAGGCTAGGGGGGTCGGTAAGATTTCTCCCCTCCCCTGCTGCCCCCTTTACCCTCCCTTCCGCTCCTCCCCACCCCGCAGGATATATTGAGTCTTTTGATCCAGTCTACTGAAGTCAGCAGCAACCAACAGGCAGAGGAAGGGAGGGGAGAAGGCAGAGGTGGGTCAGGCTGACTCTAGCTGCTTCTCTCCTGCCTTTCCCCTACTCTGGGGTCTCCTGGGGGTAGAGTAAACTTGGCAGACACTTCAGGAGAGCAGATGGTTGTTCCCAGCTGTGACCTAGGAAGGAGATTCTCCAGCCCTGAATTTCCCCCTCTGAACTCTCTTACCGTTCTCTAGCCCCCATTGCCAATTTTTGTTCAATAGACTTCTCACTGTGCCCGGAACTGGGCCAGTCCTGCACTTGGGTGGCAAGGGAAGGTGAGCAAGGCTGAAGGCCGGGGGGAAGGCTGAGTCACTATAAGGGTGCCTGAGACCTGCCCCTTCCTCTCTGAGCCGCAGTGCCCTCCCTTGTAAAGTGGGCATCAGAATGCCTATCTCGTGAGACAGCCAGGGAAGGAAGTCAGAAAACTGTGGGGGTTGAGTGTAGAGTAGGAAGCACAGGATACATGCAGGGTGTTTATCCAAACGGTAGGCAGCACAGCGCTGTCACTCCCGTGGGCTTCAGAGGAGCAGAAGACCCTGCAGTGGTAGCTGCTGCCCTCGGCTCCAGGGCGGGGAGCTCTCATTCGGCACCTAGTAAGAGCTGGGCTCATCTTAAAGTCCCCGCATGTGGTTCCGCTATCCTCCTGGTTCCCGAGACTTTGGCTCTTCCTCTCAGCCCATCTCCAACAAGAACCAGAACCTGACATGGCGAGGTCTGCACATCCAACCTTGTGCATCCCTCCCCTTCTCTGCCCAGTGCGGCTGCTGGGACCCTGGCTCCCGTGCCCCCGTCTGAACATGGGTCCAGACGTTCAGATTGATCTCTCCACTGCTCTGCTTTCTCTTACACCCTCCCCACCAGCCACTGCGGCCAGGGTGAGCGTCCTACACAGCTCTGTTCCCGTTTCTCCACTCATTCCAAATCCGTACGTGATCCTCATTCCCTACAGAGTGAAATCTGAATTTTGTCCTCTTTATAGCCGCTCCCCACAATCACCCCACTCTCCTCAATGAATGGATGGACTTCCCACAAGTCCTTTCGACAATTTAGTGTTCCGGGCACGCGTGACTCCTCACTGCTCAAGTTCTTTTTTGGAATGAGATGGGTGGAAACAGATGTCTGCTATTTCCAATAAACACGACACATTCTGATCTCTGTGCTTTGGATTACTTGTCCTTCTGTGGAATGTGCCTCCCTCCCTCGCCCCGCCCTCTTCCCCACTCCCCACCACTTGTCCTAGGAGACCTGGGTAAAATGCCACCTTTATCAGGAAACTCCCAGATCCAAGATGCCTCTCAGTGACCTGCCGGTGTTCACACAGAGCTCCAGAGCCAGGGCAAGCTGACCTTGCTGGAAGGAGACATTCTGGATGAACAGTTCATGAAGAGAGCCTGCCAGGGCACCTCGGCTGTCATTCACGCCGCCTCTGTCATTGACGTCTTCAATGTCATTCCGAGAGAGACCATCATGAATGTCAACCTGAAAGGTACTATATCCTCGGGAGGAGGTGGCGTGGGGTGGGCAGGTGAGGCTGGGAGAACAGGACAAGGTAGAGAGGAGCAGCCCAGTCGCTGACCTCCTGAGATCTGTGCTTTTGCTTAGCACTACCAACCGAGAGAGTGTTGGCTGTTGTCCTCAAGGTTTTTGTTGTTGTTGTTTTAAGAGGAAAGGAGAAGGAGAGAGAGGGAGGGAGGGAAACATCAATGATCAAAGAGAATCAATGATTGGCTGCCTCCTGTAAGCCCCCTAGTGGGGATTCAGCACACCATCTGGTCATGTGCCATGACCAGGAATCAAACCAGGACTTTTTGGTTCATGGGTCAGTGCTCAACCAGTAAGCCATACCAGCCAGGTGTCCTCAGGTGTTTAGATAAGAAAACTAGGGCTGAGAAAGGCTAAGTAGCTTCCAAGGCCCCATGAGCCAGAGAGGGAGAGCCAGGATTTAAACCCACAGCTGTGTGACTCCAAAGGCCACAGAAGCTCTTTCTAGTGCTGCTCCCATCGAGAGGGAACTAAACTCCAACCTCCAACACTTGATACCCAACCACCTCCCCTGGGCTGGAACCGGGTCTCCCAGCTGCTTCCTTAGTCATCATTTTAGCCCTCCCGTGTGGCCCTAAGGCGGTGGTCACACAGTGGGGCCAAGAACTAAGGGCTCTGGGATGAGGTGGCCCTAGGTCAGTTAGAAGCCATGGGCCTCAGCTCTGGCCGGATTCCTTGGGCGGGACTTCCTGCGCAGGATGAGGCTGGTGCAGGGGTCTGGAACTACAGAATCATGGAGCACTTGACGTCCTGTAACGTTTTCTTAACAATAATGGTATCCCATTATCCATAACACCACTTCTTCACCCACTACCAGGCCTCCTCTTAAAGACTAGTTCTAAGCAGGTGTCAAGATGCACTTTCGATCCTCAGACCTTAAAGGCTTGGGGGCTCTTTCAGAAGTGTGGCTTCCCAATCTACTTTAGATGCATTTGCTCGAGGGTTTGGCTTAAACCCCTCATTAGCTTGCCGTTATTCTCATCCATCTGGTCCCTGGCGCCCAGCTTCTCTAGGACAGCAGCACCCCATCTCCCTAGCCCATCTGTCTTCTGTGCCCTGCACGCCCAAGTTAGTCTACTCAGACTCCTTTTCTAAAGTGACGTATGGCTTTGGGTTTCTAGCCAAAAACAGCACAATAACAAAAAAGACCCCTTTAAGTTTCCACTAAGCCACACCCCTGATCACCCCCACACTGCAAGGAGGGGGTGAGAGTAACCAGTTTCTCGCGGTCAGCCCTCTCTCACAGTCCCCACCCTTCACAGCTCCCAACAACAGGAGATTTGAAATCCCCGAGAAGTGTTGAGTTGACTAAAAGCAAGGTCACTCCCAGGTTTAGAAAATACTTCATGATGATTGTCATTTCCCCCTCTGCAGGTAAATTAGCTCCAAATATTCTCTGCCTCTAGATTTAAATTATTTTTAATTGAAGCTGTCTCTCCCCAAAATCAAACTTCACACTGTCCTTTTTAAAATGCAAAACATAAAAATGATGCTTTGGCCCAGATATTCCTTGTAGGGAGGGAGCTCTGGATTACTTCCCTGAGCTAAGGTTCTACCCAGCTAAAGGGATTCTGCCAGATCCTCCAGTTGTAGGTATCACCACCAGAGGGCGCCCCCTCCTGATTCTCCCCCAGGCTCAACGTGCAAGGCCCGTGCAGAATTCCGCAATGCTTAGGAGGAGGGGGGTTATCACGCCCACTTTTCATGCCTGGGAAGTCACAGACAGAACTAGGATTGGCCTTCCAGGGGACACACAGTCAGGAACAGAACCTGGATCTCCAGCTTCTCCCCAGAAAACACTGATTTGCTCAGTGGCTCTCAAAGAAATGTCCTTGCGACTACATTTTTATTGGTCCTTAAAAAGAGAATACAAACAATTCAATACATATTTAAGAGTGTTTTTACCTATAAACCTGTGTGTGTGTGGTGTGTGTATGTGTGTGTGTGTTTGAGATGAGAGTCCTTTAACTGTTCTCTTTTGCCTAGGGACTAGGACTGTCCATATTTTGAGTGTTTTTACCTATAAACCTGTGTGTGTGTGTGTGGTGTGTGTATGTGTGTATGTGTTTGAGATGAGAGTCCTTTAACTGTTCACTTTTGCCTAGGGACTAGGACTGTCCATATTCTGAGAGTATAGCCTCCTAATTTCTTTTATTTAAAATAGCCTTCCATTGATGAGGTGGTAGGGAGGAAAAGTGATCATTTGTTAATGTCCATCATCAGGAAAATATGAAGTGGCAACCCTATGTCCTTTTCCAGAATCGGAAGTACACACGCAGGCCCCCGAAATCCAAAAGCCTAGACATCTTTGCCTTTTATAGTTGCACTTTTCTGTGGCATTGGCATGTCAGCTCTCAGCCAGAGACATGGGAGCATTCCCTCCTGGTCTGCAATAACCCCTCCCCCCTGGGGGTGGGGGTGGACAGGGTCGGTGGGCGTGGGTCCTTTGGGCTTTTGCCTGCCACTGACAGCGTGCTCCTGTGGGCAGGTACCCAGATCCTGCTGGAGGCCTGTGCCCAGGCCAGTGTGCCCATCTTCATTTACACCAGCACCATAGAGGTGGCCGGGCCCAACTCCTACCGGGAGGTCATCCAGAACGCCTCTGAAGACCAGCCTCTGGAAACCACGTGGTCAGCTGCATACCCGTACAGCAAGAAGCTTGCCGAGAAGGCTGTGCTGGCCGAAAGAGGACATTCCCAGCCACACCCTGAGAGAGGAGGCAGGGACTAGAATGCCCCCCTCCCTGGGTGTTTCTACTTCACAGGCAACGATCCCACTGTGCTGGGAGACGTCTCCTAGTCTCGCTGAAATTCACAGATGGTGCGTCCCCCACAGCCAGAGCCACCTGCGGGTGTCCTGCTGTGGGTGGCACCGGGCATCGTTATCGCTGTGGCCTTGGAGCTGGCCTTCTCTTCCTCTGCCTCGAAGGGAAAGGAGATAGAAGCCGAAGCTGAAGTTCCGCACTTTGTGGTAGGAGGGATCCTGGGACAGGAATGAGCAATGAATATGTAGTAGATAGAGTCCAAGATAAAAAGGCCGAGCCAGAGGGGATGGGGCAAAACTCCAGTCTTCCTTCCAGGGAGAGACTCAGAACTCAGGCTCTTTCATCTGACTTTTAGCAATCGAACAGGTTAGAGCGTTTTAAAATTTTTCTCTCAAGGAGTCGTGGTTGCGGAGGAGTGGGGGGAACAGAACGGATGTGTGTGCACCTGTAACCACCTGGCCTCTGTGGGGGTCTTCTTCAGGGTGGGCCTCTATCCCACCTGCTCCCCGGCTTTCTGGTTTCTGGAGCGTGCCTCTTGGTTCCCAGGTGTGCCATGGCTGGGTGGAGCTGCCTCGTGACGGGCGCAGGAGGCTTCCTGGGGCAGAGGATCATCCGCTTGTTGGTGGAGGAGAAAGAGCTGCAGGAGATCCGGGCGCTGGACAAAGTCTTCAGACCGGAATTGCGGGAGGAATTTTCTAGTAAGTGAACTTGGGTCATGGGAAAATGGCAAAGCTAACCTTGAACCTAGGCAGTCTCGCCTCAGAGTCTGTGCTCTTAACCTCTAGTTTGCCTGAAAGGTTTCCTCTGGGCCTCCCTCCCACCCAACTCACACCACATAGGCAAAGGTATATTCAGCCTCACCAAGTCCACGGAGCCATGGCTCCACCACCGGGGTTTCCACAGCGCCCTCTCCTGGCTTCTCTGCATCCCTGCAGGCTAGGGGGGTCGGTAAGATTTCTCCCCTCCCCTGCTGCCCCCTTTACCCTCCCTTCCGCCCCTCCCCACCCCGCAGGATATATTGAGTCTTTTGATCCAGTCTACTGAAGGCAGCAGCAACCAACAGGCAGAGGAAGGGAGGGGAGAAGGCAGAGGTGGGTCAGGCTGACTCTAGCTGCTTCTCTCCTGCCTTTCCCCTACTCTGGGGTCTCCTGGGGGGAGAGCAAACTTGGCAGACACTTCAGGAGAGCAGATGGTTGTTCCCAGCTGTGACGTAGGAAGGAGATTCTCCAGCCCTGAATTTTCCCCTCTGAACTCTCTTACCGTTCTCTAGCCCCCATTGCCAATTTTTGTTCAATAGACTTCTCACTGTGCCCGGAACTGGGCCAGTCCTGCACTTGGGTGGCAAGGGAAGGTGAGCAAGGCTGAAGGCCGGAGGAAGGCTGAGTCACTATAAGGGTGCCTGAGACCTGCCCCTTCCTCTCTGAGCCGCAGTGCCCTCCCTTGTAAAGTGGGCATCAGAATGCCTATCTCGTGAGACAGCCAGGGAAGGAAGTCAGAAAACTGTGGGGGTTGAGTGTAGAGTAGGAAGCACAGGATACATGCAGGGTGTTTATCCAAACGGTAGGCAGCACAGCGCTGTCACTCCCGTGGGCTTCAGAGGAGCAGAAGACCCTGCAGTGGTAGCTGCTGCCCTCGGCTCCAGGGCGGGGAGCTCTCATTCGGCACCTAGTAAGAGCTTGGGCTCATCCTAAAGTCCCTGCACGTGGTTCCGCTATCCTCCTGGTACCCGAGACTTTGGCTCTTCCTCTCGGCCCATCTCCAACAAGAACCAGAACCTGACATGGCGAGGTCTGCACATCCAACCTTGTGCATCCCTCCCCTTCTCTGCCCAGTGCGGCTGCTGGGACCCTGGCTCCCGTGCCCCCGTCTGAACGTGGGTCCAGACGTTCAGATTGATCTCTCCACTGCTCTGCTTTCTCTTACACCCTCCCCACCAGCCACTGCGGCCAGGGTGAGCGTCCTACACAGCTCTGTTCCCGTTTCTCTCTCCATTCC